TTTTTGTAATCATTTTAGGACATAAATCTATATTTATTATTATATATAAAAGTATGGGTGTAATGTGAAATTTTTTTGATTAAAATTATTTTTTATTTCTTTGTTTGATAAAGGATATAAAAGTTATTTTATTATAATTTTAATGGCTACTATAATGGCCATATTTCTGTATTTAATCAATCTCTAATTTTAAGGGTTGAAAATTAATTTTAATTATTACTTTCTACCTCATTTAATCCCCTCTCATTAAGTCTTATGCTTAAGGTATTAAATCCCATTTTTCTCTTATTAAGTCTTATATTTTTAAGTCTTTTTTTCACTAATAAATGCTACTAATTAGATATATGTCAATATTTTTAACAATTTAAACCCGTATATTTTAAAACTCACTGAAAAACAAAACTATTCTTTGTCCAAGTGTTAGCTAAGCAATTCAACCATCAAAAGCAAATTGATCAACCTATGAAGTCATTGTTAGGTAATCAAAATTTTAAAATATAAATAAATATAAAAGTTTACAAAAAATATAGGAAAAATGAAATGCATTTATGATATTTTTATTAATCAAATTAAAAAATAAGTGCAATAAACAATAATTTTTTTTATTGATAATGTAAATGAAATACATAACTTATAACTTACCAAAATTTGAAAATAAAAATTAATAATAAATATTTCAACTTTTCGGGTTAAATGTGTTAATCTTTAATGACATAAATAAAAATAAAAGCTAATAAATATAAAAATACATAAWTTTTGCAAAAAAAAAAGCATTCAGGCACATGCATATCATGTATTTATCATATTAAACAAAAAGTAAGTGTGATATATCAAAATTATTTTTACACACAAAAAAATGCAAAAAAAAATTGAACACATATATAATTCTATATTTACACTGCTACTAAAAATATTAATAAAATTGTTGAACTTTCTTTTGATTAAAATCAATGCTTAAAAATTGACCTAGAAAATGAACTACTTTGGATTCCCATTATCATGTCATTAGTTCAACTATTTAGTTTGGGTGGATCAAACTAGTAAGATATAAAATATAATGTAACTTTTTAGTTTTATTGTTAGATTACGATTGGGTTAAAAGTCCACCATATACATACATTATTATGAGATATGAGTGTATGGCTTTGAGAATGAGGTAGTTGGTTAAAGCTGATAAGTAAGAAAAAAAAAGAGAAGAATAAGATAACGAAGCGTCGTCAATAACTATCTCTATATTCATCATCACCACCGTTATAACATTGTTTGCCCTCTTCATACATTTCTCTTATATCTTTATGAAAGAATGGTAAGCTCCACCATATGGACGCCAAAAGGGTGCGGAATGGGTGGACGAATTTAAAAAATTTCTTACCTTTCTTCCAACTGGGAATCATATTCCCTAAATTTAGAATACAGTACTAGGATCTGATTTGAACCAAAACCGAACAAGATCTAAACCAAAAGAGAAGGGAAAGGATATATCTAATTCGGAGAAACAGTATCTCCCAATGTCGGTGTTCACGCCCAAAGAAACTCTCAAGAACCGCTCCCACTGAAGATGACACAATGATAATGAAGCAAAACCAGCAGTGTTCGCCCCACGAACCATGTCCTTCTGAAGAACTCGATGGAAGCAATGAGCACCACACACGATCAACCTTTCAGCAAATATTGATATCAATAACCTTTCTTGATCTTTCCCTTACAGAGAAAACGAACTGGCAGTAGATGGCGACGGCTGCTGGAGAAGAGGGCTAGAGCAGAAGGTGGCAAATAGCTTTCTTCTCTCTAGGATTTTCTCTGAGATCCTATCTCTAGATGTAGTGTGTTCTACGAATACCCTTAAGGTTTGAATTATTGTAATCCGAAATTAGGGTTTATCCTCTTTTCTTAGTGATTAAGAAACATCATAATCTCATTAGGAGTTATCCTAATCCAAATCTGTATTTGGATAAGGAGTCTTCTTAATCCTATTTGCATATTAGATAAGCCCACTCATGATCTTATCATGAGGTTACCATATTCAAATCCTAATTTGAATTTGGTCTCCATGAGTGGATAGGGTTAAGACCCAATCCTTTTTAGCTTGACCTAACCTCATATCCGCTCCTTTAGGTGACTAATCAAATCAGCCTAGTTCGAAATGGGCTTTAGGCCCAATATGCATCAAGTGCTCGATAGACTTCCAAACTGCTGCCCAGTTGGGCTTCTTTGTATGGCGTGGGACCCAAACATTGATCTACACATCAGCCACATGGGTTCGATCCAGCCTCTGTTACAAGGCCTAGCCGAATTCACTGGAAAGCTCTGTGAACCCCTTGAGCCCATCACATGGACTCTATGGGCCCAACATTTACACTAAGTGGTCCATAGGCCAAGCCATCTTATAAAAACCCAGTGATTGTGGGCAGATGCAAGATTAGCCCATCAGGTATAACCCTAAATGGCCTTACACTTAACCTCTCAGTCCATAATGATCCAAAACACTGTCCGACAAGAGAGGACCTCTCCCTCGACTGCAAGGCACAATGCTGCATTCTCCTATAGGATGGACCCCGGGGATTAAAACCTTATTGCAAACGAGTTGAAATCGTACATATATATTATATCATTATAAATATATTTTGAAAAACAAAATTCCAACGGTTGAAATCGACTGCCGGCAGCTTTTGATTTCCATTAGAGATAGTGCATCCCCAATCATTACCTTTGTCTGACAAAGGGGCTGATCCTGTCACTATGATCACCCACTCAGATGGGTTCATGAACCATTCCAACATACCCAGGTTTTGACCCCCTCTAAGGATCTCACTGATTGGCATATCAAAGACAGCCCAATCCGCCACCTAGTGCAATATCATAATCGAGTCTAGGGGTCAGGTGTAACTTTTCAGTTTTGTCCACTCATCACCAAAGTACAGGGCAATACTAGAAATCTGGTATGGTTCAAGGTTTTAAGTTGAACCCTCACTACATGTACCTCGGGTCTCACCCTAGCGACTGAGACAAGCCTCCCCAACCAACTTTGCGGCACATCAGTGTCAGCCTTATCAGGATAGGTTTTCCCAGACCGACCCACTGGCTGTGAACATTTTAAACTAACACGAGTCTCATTAAGTGTCCAGTTTAAGGGTCATACACAAAAACATACCACACAACATGAATCAAACATGCACTTTATTCATTTACACTAAATGTCTAAAGTACATCAAAACTGATTGGAGCTAAGGGCATACAAACTGTCTAACACTTTAATTATCTCTCAAATCTCATATTGTTTTTCATTGTTGTATTTTAGATTTGAATATAAGACAGGTATTTAATCTTTCGCCTCTTGCATCGATTTTTTGATTTATTCACTGTAGTTGTTATATATATATTTAATTTATATTTAAAAATAAACAAAAAATGGAATTAATCTGAAGCAACTCGAGAACCGTTAAATGGTCAAACATTTTAACGATCAAACCACCAAGGTCAACAATTCTTTGACCATTTCAATAGTTTTTTTTTGGTCTGTGTGTGTAAAATAGCGGCTCAAGGCCAAAATAGAATTGGTGACCTCACTGATTCCTAAGCCAATCAGTTTGATTGCCTAGTTTGGTTTGGTTTCTAAARCAACAACTAAAATACTTATTTTTGAATTTAGTCTATATTTAATTGCAAAGTTTAAACTGTAAATTGAACTATTACTCTTTTTCACCTCATTCAATTCCCTCTACTTAAATCTTACATTTATTTGATAAATGAACAAAATAAAAATAAAACACCAAAAAGATAAAACACTACAAAAAAAATAGTCTAACCAAGCAGGTGATTATATAATCAACCACATTTGGGTTTTGCAATTTGAATATGTTTAAAAATAAAAAACAAAAAAAATACATAAAATTTATAGAAAATCTTAAGTATATTATTATTATAATTACCATCATATAAAATTATCATATTCAAAGCATGTACACACTTATTAGTGTCAAAAAGTAAGGGATGAAATTGCATTCCGCCTCATTTGCATAAATGACAATAATCTCCTCTTATTTGTCTAGAAGCTGACTTTTTTTAGAAATATATAATACCAACAAAACATTTAAAATAAAGCCGCACATTGGGAATATCTCACTTATCATCGATGAGAAGATGTTCCAAATGTGCAGCTTCCATGGCTGGTTGGGACATGGTAGTTGATTCAACAACGTGTTTGCAAAGTACATACTTGAATTTTTAGGAAAATAAAGCATAGAGTTAATCATTTAAGGCCCGGTTTGCTTTTTGAGAAAATACTTAATCGAGTAAATGCTTTTCAAAAATATTTATCTAAATAAATGTATTTATTTATATTCTTTTTATTTCTCATGTATATAAGATAATGACTATTAAGCAAACTTATCCATCTAAATATTGACAACTTTCACCAGAAAATTATTCACCAACATGAGTATCACTTATCTAATTATATAATAAGTGATGCTTAAGGAAAATAGATTTTACCTGAACCTCGCGTAACCTCACGAAAAATGATAAAAAAATATTGGCAGCCAAGCAGTCGCCAGTCAGTCAATCACCAACCGTGGGCTATTTTGTTAATGGAGGGGCATTTTTTTGGTATCCTTGGACCGTTACATTGTAAACGGCAGATTCCGTTCGCAATATCTTTCCCTCCACAAAACTTTTTGAATTTTCTAAAATACCCCTGCATATCCCTCATCATGACAAATCTGCAATCCTGACCGTAGATTGTCAACACTTCCCACACATCCCCAATCTTGCAAGTTCAGCATGGTTCACAGAGTCACAGACATATAAAATGTGGGACCGGTAAGCCTTGTCGGAGGGTAATTTTGTCATAACAAGTAGAATGGTCACCTCTATAGTTATCAGAAATCCCTTAAAATTAAGTAAAGGCCAATAAACAAACAGGAATATTACAGTAATTTGATGCGGAGTGATTTTTTACCCTGTCCTCACTTTTGTTCTTCACTTTTTTGTTTTTGTTTTTCTTTTTTAAAAGTGCGGCCGATGCTGCACTGAAATAAGCAGGTTTTCAGACGATAGTCCATATCAAAGCCAACAGAAGTCTTATTAGACACATTCTCTCTCCGTCTCTCTCTCTCACTTCTGTACTGTTTATCATTTCTGTACTCATGCATTGCAGCGTAGAGTAACAACTTTTACTGTTTGGCCCTGGCAATGGTTTAATCCCTCGCGAGAGCTTAGTGGATCTAGAGTGAGTCGAAGACTGGAAGGTAAGATCGACAATGTATTCGCTGTTTCTGTTGCATTTTGGATTTTATAGCTTCAGATTCTCTGTTTTCTCTTCTTGAGTTACTTAGATCGATGTAACATACTCGGGTTCTAGTTCAGAAACCTGCATTTTCTTCGAGATTTTTCACAGATCTATGGAATTGGCGAAAAGTATTCGTTTTTATCATGCTTAAGTGGATGCTGGGACTGGGAGTTTTGGACTTGGAACCGGTTTGCGTGGTGTAAATTCGGATGTTTTGAGTGGGGTTTTGCTTGATTTTGTTGATTCTGAGTAAATGTGGTTAGGGATTACTTTATTGAAGCTGGATTAGGTTCTCTTTTATTTGGCTTTCTTGCAGAACTGGGTGGAGAAATAGTGCTTTTAGAGAAAAATGGAGGGTTCGCCAGTGGAAAGTGCTACGAAATCTTCGAAACTTGTAAAAGCGGGTGTTACAACGGTAGCCAAAGCTTCAGGGCCAACTACTTTGAGCAGGAAAAGAGTTGATGGAACGAGAGTTTCTGATTCGAGTTCAAATGCGGTCAAATCGACTCTGACTAGGCCTACTATTAGTAGTTCAAATGCAACTTCATTGAAGAGGAGAAATAGCACTGGAGGCTTGACAGAGAAACAGTCGGTATCGGTAGCCAAACGGCAGGAGAATGTTAATTACGTTGCAGGAAGAAGAGCGACATCTTCTGCTTCGGAACCATTAAGGCGATCAGCCACCGAAATTAGACGAGCTTCGTTGCCTTCAGCTACAACAAAAGCGTCGAATGCAGCCACTACAAAAGTACTGAATACCACGAACATTTCTGAGACGAAAAAGGCATCTCCAGTCACACCTACTTCTAGGACTTCAAGAGCATCACCAAAATCCGATGCCAGCAAGCAAGATTCTGTTAAAAAGCCCACACTTCGACCGTCACTATCGGTTTCTTCTGCAAAGAAGGTTCCTTCTTCATCCTTGGACAGTAGTGGCAGCAGCACCCTTAGGAAGACTGTTTCTAAGGTTTCTTCTCCATCAGCCCGTTCACCTTCGGTTACCAGTATGTCAAAGCTTGGGTCTTTGTCATCATCGGTAGACAGGGGATCTTCTTTATCTGGACGTAGAAGAGCATCAACTCCCGAAAGCCGGGATTCTTGTTTCATTATGCTCCCACAGGTGGAGATTAAAGCTGGAGATGATGTGGTGAGCACTGTGTTTACAAACTTATTAGGTGATATCCTACTCTGTGTATAGGTTTGATCAGGTTTCTGGTTCTGCTGGTTTGAAGAAGGAAGTGAATCTGCAATTATGGTCCCCTTGTTTGATCCATTTTTTTAGTTAGGTCTAGTGCCTATGGTTTGGTTGTTTAAGAATTTTGTCAGATCAATTAGGTTCTGAATCTGATATTGGTATGTGTTTCTTTGCTTTTTCGTATCATAAGTCTTGCTTTGGATCCATGGCAATGGGAATACATTTTTCGACTCTCTGAATTTAGTAAACATTAGGAGGAATAATTTTTCTATTAATTGTAGTTAGGAGGCTCTGAACAGAATTTTTATATTTTTGTTATTACCCTTCATGCACATGTTTTTTATTGATTCTTCGAGTGTATATTGCCATTTTCTTTGACGGAGGCAAATTCGAATTTTCAACTATGATGGTGAAATACAACACTTTAAAGATTATTTGCTTCTTTTCTTTGTGTTTTTTGGTGGTTATTGTCGTGAGAAGGTTCTTTTTCCCCTTTAACTAATAAAATTTTCCCCTTGATATTCTTTCTCATTGTTTTAGAGGCTGGATCGTAGAGGCTATAGAGTTCGAAGTCTCACAGGTAGCGGGTTGAACTTGTCACACAATTTAGAGGTAAATCTTATTTGCATTTTCTTGACATAGCTGTTTCTCTGTTTGGCTGTCTTATTGGTTACCTTGTAAGTCATTTCTCTTAATAATATCTTTTTTATTTATTTTTATTTATTTTTTAAGTTATAAACAAATGTAAAGGTGCATTGATGCTTGGAGGGGTAAGGGGTTACTGGTTAGATGATTAGCTCAATATATATTTATGCATGATGGAAAACCTAAGGGGGCATGGCTTTGTGTGCCATTGCACCTGTCTATTCTTCTTATGAATGCCTTCAACTGCATGCTAGATTATCCAGAAGCTTTTTGTCTCCTTGGTTGCTTGATGCTTAGCTCTGATCTTCAGTTGGGTGTTAAAATTGACCTCAGTTTTAGCACAGAATTGCAAAGTCACCAAGGCTAGCTTTTTTGTGTTTTCCCCCCATAAAATCTTGTAACTTTGAAATAGAGGAAGCTTTGTTTTCCCCCCATAAATCTTTTCCCCCCATTGTCTACCTTTTGCAAGCCCTCCTCTCATATGGAACACTTCAATTAGTAGGTATGATTTATTAGAAAAGGAAAGGTGGTAAGCATTAAATAAATGTTGCTATCCATAAAAAATGTTGCATTGACTATCCTAAAGGGATGATGTCTCCATGTTGGGCATGCGCCACAATCTGACACTCCATGGATTCTTGATGTCACTTCTATGTAACATTTCCTTTCCTAGCATTATTTGGCATAAATGAACAGATGTTGTACAAGATGCCATTTTCATATCACTTGTTACTTGGTAACAAACACAACATCTTAGATCCCTTTTGATGGTATATAATGTCAGAATTCAAGAAATATTCAATAGTATATACTTTTCCATAGATGTGTCCTGTGTCCATTAGTCCATGTTTTCTCATCTTGTTGAGTCAGACTTTGCATATATGTTAGATTTCAACTCCCATGTCACTGTCCATTAGTGATTTAAAAGGTGCACCTAGGCGCATAAGCGAGGCACATTTTAGGTTATGTGCCTTGTCTAGGTCCTAGGTGCAACACTTTCAAAACGCATACACCTGGTCTGCCTTGTGCTTCAGCCTAGGCGCATGTCTTTTGAAAGATTGTGCATTTTTTCTTTTCTTTTGTGTGTGTGTGTGTGTGCTTAGCAGCTGCATTGGGGGCTCCACCCCCAGACCCGATTAAACCAAGGTTCAAAATATCGATATGCCCGACACACCGGTAGAGGCGTATCGGTAATTTTTTTAGTTTTTTTTTTCAAATCTGGTTCAGAGGGGCTGGTTTAAGGTCCGTCCACCTCCTGAACCGGTCAAAACCCCGATACACCCTCTGCAGGGGCGTATCAGGAAGCTCCCGATATGATACATATCGGCTGATACATATTGATACTTTGAACCTTGGATCAAACCCCTCAAGGCTAGCCCAAACAAGTCCATATTAGGGTCTTAAATTCTTAATTCCTATAAAAAAAGTTTTATGACTTTAAATGTCTTTTGAAAATATATTTTATTAGGATGAATGAATGAGCAACATTAGCAAATACAGTTTCTTGACTGAGCGCATAGTCCTATACAAAACATTGGTCTTCATTCCTTCTGAGAATCTGCTTTGAAGACCTCTTTTAGTTGATAGTTCTTTTTAGGTTCATAATGCATTATTACATGGCCACTTTAGGTTGTGTTCTTGTTACTGTTGAATCTTTTTTTTTTTTTTTTTCCTGAAAGGTTGCAATTTCTGAGTTTTGAGCAATCAAATTCCTGGGGGGTGGGGTTCATCATTCATCTTATCAATGTCTCCAGATATAGTTGAGGCCATAGTATTTCTTTTTCTATTTCTACATGCTAATAATTTTCTGCTGCAGTTTGTTTATCTCAGGGACAATCTCTTATCATCTCTGGAAGGAATTGAGATTTTGAAGCGGGTGAAGGTCTGTTTCCATGATTTACCTCACATAAATGTGTATATAATCAATGGGCAGGGTCCGGCCCGATGGACCTGATGGACCCAAACTGATTGGCTGCTTCTGGTTCCAGGATCTGTATTGATGGGCCACTTCCGGTTCCTGATCCATTGTCCTAATTATTGTCGGTTTGGAATTGGTTCTACTCAATCCCGAACCGACTCAGACCCGACCTGATCCACATATATAATCATATACACATTAAATGTATATTAAATAAATTATATATGTTAGGTAAATATATATATATATATATTAAATAAATTAACTTATATATATATATATATATTAAATGCATAATATTTTCAGCAGGTTTATTATAATCGTCGGGTCCATCGGGTCAGACCTGATTGTCCTGAGAACTGATCGGTTCAGTTCTGGGTCTAAAATTACAGGCCCTGTAGGGTCTGGTTCGGTTCTGGTTCTGGTTCCTTGATATATCTTGTCAGGTTGGTTCCTGTTCTACCCTGTCCCAATTCCGACATGGCCCATTGAGAACCCTATTTCTGCTTCTGCATTTTTGGGATGACATTTTCCAATCTATATTTACAAATTTATAGTTTAGTGGCTGATTGAGATAACTCTGTCTAGGTTCTTGATTTGAGTTTCAATGATTTCAAAGGACCTGGGTTTGAGCCACTTGAGAATTGCAAAGTCTTACAGGTCTGTATCTCTCTCTACTTCTGGTGTTTGACTGGCTTATGTTACATGTTTAACTTTTCTGTGCATAAAGATCTGGGATACGTGTTATTAATACAGCAACTATATCTTGCTGGGAATCAAATCACATCACTTGGAAGCCTTCCTGAACTTCCAAATTTGGAGGTATGATCATAGGTAGATTTTGTGATATTGGTAATATTTGCGTCCATGCTTCCATTGCCATGGCTTTGAAGACATTTTCCATTAAAATCTTCTGTTTTCCAGTTTCTCTCAGTTGCTCAAAATAGGTTAAAGACTCTTTCAATGGCGAGTCAGCCTCGTCTTCAGGTCTATTTTTTTTTTCAAAAATTTGTCCTTGATATCTGTATTTCTTTGGGCAATGATATGTTTTGTTTCTTTATTTATTATTTCAATCCTTTTGGTGTTTCCACAGGTATTAGCTGCCAGCAAAAACAAGATATCAACTCTAAAGGGTTTCCCACATTTACCAGTTCTTGAGGTAGCTTTCTTGCTTGGTTTAAGTAAAGAATGCATATTACTTCATTATTCTTGCTATGCATTTGAAATAAGAGTTGATGTACTGTTTCTCTTAAGTAAACACGTTCATATATGTGCAAACGTACACACACAAATAAATTTCTGTGCCAATGAAATTTCATATAGCCGAGTCCATCCTTCAATTTATGAACTGTTATCATTAAAGTAATTGAATTTCTATTTTCATGATTCAATATTAGTGCCGTTCTTATAGTGGTATATATTAGTAGGGATATGCATGTCTTTTGTCCATACCTTTTACAAATTAATTATCTTTAATCATCCACAGTGTGCATTTATTTTGCCTTCTTAAGTGCAACATAATTTATGGCGTGCATAATTGTCCACATGTATATATTGTCCATGCAAAGCTTTTTTTTTGTATGGGTTTCTCTTTCTCTCTATATTTGTTTTCCATATTAAACTCTATGTTACTTAGATATGGATGAAACAGTGATTTAAAAGGTGCGCCTATGAATTTTGCATTGGGGCAGTGGTGTGGTGTCCTAAATTCAGAAGACCTCTGATTGGGAGATAGAGGGATGTGTGGGGCTGTTGGCAAAGCTTCAAGAGGTGGAAGTGAATCCATCACTTCCAGATGCTAGATGGTGGAAAGAAAAAGAAATGGAAGATTTTTTTGTCAAGTCTCTTTACAATGCTTTGTCCAGAAATCAGGTAAAATCTGATTCAGTTAAAGGAGGCTTTTGCTTGACTCATCTCAATGGGGAAGTAGTATCCTGACTGAAAGACAATCTGAAAAAGAAAGGCCATCAGTTTCCTAGTAGATGCCTGCTTTGTTGTCTGAAAAGGAGTCTATCCTTCACCTACTGGTCCGTTGCATATTCATTAGGAGTATGTGGGCCTATTTTTTCAAGCTGTTCAACATGGATGGATGGAATCTTAGAGACTGCATGGGGATATTTGGCTGCTGGCTGAGGGTGAATGAAAGCATCAAAGTAAAAATCATCTGGAGCTGTGTTCCTTTTTCTGTACGCTGGGAAACCTGGAAGGAAAGAAATAAGAGAATATTCAAAAGCAAATCGAGAAGCAACAGAGAGTTAGGGGCTGTCATCAGTTCAAGAATTGTAGGGTGGGTCTTAGTTTTGTCAGAATTTGAAGGATTAAGCAAAGCAAATATCGGAGATGACTTCTGGAACACTTTGAATGGTTAAGTCTAGTTGTAATCTTTTTGTTTCTTCTTTGGTTCTCCTTCGTAAGAGTTGGGGTGACTTCTTGTCATGAAAACATTGTATTTTTCTGCCTGATTGAATGATTTTTTTTCTTTATTCTACATCTTGAGATGTTGTCGTCATGTATATAAACATAATAATAATAACAATTCACATTGTAACCAATCGAATTAGAGCCGAGAAAATAAAATTGCAAAAAATACACACCTGCTGTTATTGACAAAAAAATACCACTGCTATTCTTATTATAGAGATTTGATATCTTCCTAAAATTTGAGATTCCACCTAAGTTAACTCAGTCATAAGGTATTCTCAGAATGACCAAAAGGAGCATATGGGGTTGTGGGCTCCATGGATGGTTATAGGTTCTGCAAGACAAGTGTCTTAAGAACTCAGGCTTTCTCCCCCATGTTTCTTTTTCTTGTTTGCTGTGTTTGCGACATGGGGATTGGGGTCTATGAGTCAACCCATTAGCACTCCTTACCCACTCTTTTCTTAAATTTCAAATGATTAAATGTTGAATAATGAAATTGCATCCCTTTAACAAAATCGTTTTTCGTCATGGAAGACATGTTATCCTATCTGAAACAATAATATATTCCATTCTTGTAAATGTCACAGATGGTTTCTCTAAATCTGGTGCACATCTGGATGTAATGTTTAGTAATAGTTCTCTTCCTTTGTAGCCTATTCGGCTTTTTTTACTTTTTTCCTGATGTACATCTTCTCATGTACTTCTTTTAATTGAATTTCAGTTATTTAAAAAAAAGTATATTTTTTGGAGCAAACAAATGCAGCAGACTAGTTTTTCTACCTCCACCTTTATTGTGTAGTTAGTTCTTGGATGGAGTCCTTATCCACTATGACATGTTGCAGCATTTACGAGTAGAGGAGAATCCCATACTTGAAATGCCTCATTTAGAAGCTGCTTCGATATTGCTTGTTGGCCCTACACTCAAAAAGTTCAATGACAGAGGTATTGTGGAATAAACTCATCATTATACATGGCCAAGACTTCTTGATTTTGTTTTTCCTCAAAATTCTTTTAACTTTTTTTTAAGTTGGTCATTTATGCTTAATATGCAGATCTTTCACGTGAAGAGATAGAAATTGCCAAGCATTATCCTGCTCACACGGCTTTATGCATCAGAGATGGTTGGGAGTTCTGTCGCCCAGATCTTGCAGCTGGTGAGGCTTTTTGGTGTTTTACATTGTACAATTAGTGACTTATTTTTGGTTACTGTATTCACCATTCCACCAATAAATATAATCATATCTTTTAGTAATTTAGCTAGATTATTCTCTTAAACTGATCTGTGAGGAGTTTTCTCAATTTAGCATTTTATGTTTTCACATAATGTTTTTTGGTAATAAATAGGAATTTTGTTAATAAAAGAAAAGGAGTACATCAACCAGGGTGATGAGGAATCTCCAAGCAAAAGGACAACAAAAAACATTCCAAAGGAACAAATAGTCAAATACAATTTTTTTTTTCTTGAATGTATTTCAAATAAATACTAAAACCCAATTCCAAGTACTCCTTTGAGACTTGTTCAAACTCTGGAAGAATGAAAATCCAATCCATGATCCTTTTTTCACATATTGCAGCAACTTGATCTCTTCTTCTTGCTTTGTCTTCAAATATCATTTGTCTCTCTCTTTCCAAACTTTCCAGCAGATGGCAAAAGGTACACAGCTCCAAACTGTCTTTGCCTTGATATTCCTTCTCAATGTAGGCCAATGTTCCCTGGGGTTCTTGGTTCCAAGATGTCAACTTTGAAGAGACCAAAGAAGAATCACATTCTCCCCAGCAGGTTTACATAAAATAGCATCTTCCAGCCAACTGAACTCCCCTGTTTTGAATGTGGTCCATCATAAGAATGCTATCCAAAGCAACTAGCCAAGCAAATGCTTCCACCCTAGGTGGAATAGGATTTCTCCAAACTCCTTTTGTCTCTGATTTCTCCACATGATTCCTTGGAAGGGCGCTGTAAAAAGATTTAAGAGAGAACACTCCATTCTTGGATTCCTTTCACCACCTTAAGTGTCTTCTTTCAATTTGTAGCTCAGCCAATTGCAGTTTTGATAACAAATCCACACAATCCTCAGTTTCCCAATCCAGCAAAGGCCTTCTAAACCTTGGATACTACACCACCCTTCCTTGTAACACAAGTGTAGTTATTGTTTTATTCTGTGTTATAGCTTTTGCGGTTGGTTGGTGGAAGCTGGACTAACATATGGTTGAAATTTGGGAATGTTGAATGCAAATTGATATCCAACTATTTGTGCACGGATGCAAGGTGCCAACCAGCGGGTTGGTAAGGTCTCCTGCTGGTTGTAGCAGAGACTTGGAATTGAATCCCACTTGCACCTGGGTTGGGGGATGGGCTACCCCCCATTGTGTAGCYCTTCGAAAAGAAATAAAAAAACTATTTGTGCACGGATTTTTTCTTAATTTCTTAGTTTTTTTTTTCTTTTCATCTATGGAAGTTCTGAACATTGCTGCTCTACCATTTTAACAGAGTCAACTTTTCGTTTTCTCGTTGAACAATGGAAAGATCATTTGCCTCCGGGATACCTTCTCAAGGAAGCCTCTGTTGATCATCCATTTGAAGATGATGCTTGTCGCTGCCACTTCGCCTTTGTCAAAGACCGCACTCTGAGTACAGATTCTGAATTGGTACTCAAATACCAATGGTTTGTAGGAGACAAAACACCTACAAATTTTGTGGCTATCACAGATGCAGTGGGAGAGGTAGTGATTATTTTCAATATTGTTTTTTTGTTGTAAACTTCTAACTGTTTGTCATGGTATGCCAATAACACTGGTTGATAAACCAGGTATACTGGCCGAAACATGAGGACGTTGACAGATTTCTGAAGGTTGAGTGCACTCCTATTTTAAGGGAGACCGAGTACCCTCCTATTTATGCAGTGTCTTCACCAGTTTCACCTGGTATACTTTCTGTGCACTTTTCTATGCTGTAAAATGTCTTATCATGCCCATTCAGAAACTAACACTTACAAACCTGATATCCATTTTCATGCTAAGAGTGGTGAGTGGGTGTTATAAATGAGTTTTGATACCTTGTTCAAATATCATATTATCATGTTCTTTTAACTTGTTATGACCGATGTTCAGAGAACCAGATTGGGCATAGAATTGGAAAGGTGAGAGGTTCAACCGGGATCAAACCGAAGGTTGAACTGCAATGATGTGGCATATATGTATATATACTGCGGGCCATATAACTGATATATATAATGTATTTTGCAAATTATGTCATAACTGAATGTGGTGGATAGATGGCAAGTTTCTTAATTTTTAAAGCAAATGACCAAGGTTCAAGCCTCTTAACTCACATTTTCATTAAAATACATGTGTAATAAAGTAATATATACAATCAATTATGAAAAAAATAAAGTAATATATACAATAGATTATATAAAATAAAGTGTCATTAATTAGCACAAATAATGAAATGGATTAATGGTAATTAAGCAAAAACACAAATAAGAGGTCATGGGTTCAAGTCTTGCCATATGCATTTTGAAATTTCCATTGTTTAGTAACCCAGATGGTTTCATGAAACTGGGACTGGTTCACCGGTTAAACTGGACGGTCATCTGGTTTTGATTGGTTTTTTATGAATTCCGATTTTTAGGGTATGACCAAACTGGCCAGGGAGTGGGTCACAGTTCAATCGGTCTGACCAGCTGGTCTGGTCCTGTTTTATAAACACTGATTCTGACCATAAAATCCTGTGCAGGAACTGGGTTTCCAAAGGTTTTGAACTTGAGTGTACATGGTGAACTTGTCGAAGGGAATGTGATCAAGGGATCTGCTGAGGTTGCATGGTGTGGTGGGACTCCAGGAAAGGGTGTTGCTAGGTAAGGTTTCCTCGAGAATGATTAAACTGGTTGTTTGCATTATTTCTACTATTTCAAAACCCTAATAATTAACTCTTTAGGAAACAAATTCAGCATTATTTATATCATATGAGTCGCACATGTATTCTCAATAATATTTTCCTCTGCAACTTCCAGCTGGTTAAGACGAAAGTGGAATAGTAGTCCTGTTGTAATTGTGGGAGCTGAAGATGAAGAGTATCGGTTAACTATAGATGACATTGATTCAAGCTTGGTTTTCATGTACACACCAGTGACAGAAGAAGGTGCCAAAGGAGAGCCTCAGTATGCAATGATAGATTTTGTTAAAGCAGGTAAGATGTTGCTCAAGCATTCATAATATTGAACTGCTATTCTAGTTTTCATTTTCCCTATTTTTGATCATATTCATTCTTTTTGCTCAATAAACTTCATCTCAGTTTACTATAGAATGTGAACAAATTATTATCAACTAGTGCAAACATACATATGGGTTAATCTTAACAATTTTCTTTGTTGAGTTATTGCTTGAAAATTTTCTGAATCTATCCCAATCACAATGGTTGAAGAAATACTGATTTTTTATTGATCAAAAAAAAAAAAAAGAAATACTGATTTACAAATTGAACTGTAATTAACTAATTGGTTCCATGAACCTTTTATTTGCAACTATCATGCAGAAAGGTGTGGAACCTTTGTACTATCTTTTCTTTAACTGTGGACATGGGTTCCACAGATTGAAATGAGAGCATAGTGCAAACCATGCCATTGTCCAATAGCCTGTACAAACATACCATCCATAGCACCATRCAAAAGATAGGCTAAAAGCTCTGCATATCTAATGTATCTTTTTTCAGCAGCACTTTGTTTATTTAAGTAATGATCCTCAGATTCTAATGTTTGATTTTCTTGTGGCAGCTCCTCCATCAGTTAGTGATGTTAAGATTATTGGAGATGCTGTTGAAGGAAGTACAATCAAAGGTATTGGGAAATACTTTGGAGGAAGGGAAGGTCCTAGCAAGTTTGAGTGGTTACGTGAAAATAAAGATTCTGGGTATGCTGCGTTTCCATTTTTGAACATTTATCTATTTAGAAGTTTGAGATTACACCATTTTACTTGGTGGTCCATTTCGTCGCAAGTTTTCATTCAACTTTTTTGTTTATATATTTCCTTTTTGTGAAATTTATAGGAGACATTCGTGAAACATCAAATTTCTCGCATAATTTCTTTTTGTAGTATTTCTAAGATTGTTTAAGAAGAAAAACACAAAAGAAAAAAATAAAAGAATGGGGAAGGAAACTCCCTTTGTAAAGAGGCTGAATGGTGAGAGTAATCTAGCTGTATGCAAAGAACTAGAATTCATACAAAATATGAGCCAATTCATGTTGCAAGTGAACAAATCAGATCTCCTCAAGTTCCTTGAAATATAAGCTTTTGGTTTTTACCAAAATATGCTCGATAGGCTTGTAATGGTCTTTTAAAATCCATATTTTTTGATGAATAACTGATTACTTCATTGAATTTAAAAGAAAGTGTACAAGAGAAAGTGGGAGAGAGACAAGCCCTCTTATCTCTCCCCTTTAACTTTAGTTATAATTAAAATTATATTTGTGCCCAAAATGTTTGAATTCTCCCAACCCCTTGCTTGGCTAGTGCATCAGCCATCGAATTAGCTGTTCTTTTCACCCACTGTATTCTCAGTTCCATGTCTTTTGTGATCCATCTGAATTTTTTCTTCTCATTATTGTACTTCCACATCCTACTTTCCTCATCCAGTAGCCAAGCCACTACCAGTTTGGAATTCCCTTCAATGATTTGCTTTCTAACATTCATGGTTCTAGCCCTTTGCACCCCTTCCATAACTGCCATTACTTCTGCTCTTAGCGAGTCTCCTTCACCTGCTGGGCCTGAGAATAATGCACACACTTTACCCTCCTCATCCCTAAATACACCTCCAATTCCTGACCTTCCTGGGTTTCCCATGCTACTTCCGTCAAAGTTAAGCTTTATAAATCCTCTTTCAGGAGGGGCCCAGATAGGAATAACAGGCTGCTTATTGACATTTGAGTGTGCCACTACCTTCCAGTTTCTAATGGTGTCATCAGTGGATATATGTGAGAAGCTTTCTAAGGATTTCAGCCATTGAGCCACTCTAATCAGTATTGATTCAATCAAGGCCTCTTTTGTTCTTTCCTTTTCTCTAAAAATTCTTGCGTTTCTTTCTTTCCACACTACCCAGATTATTGCTGCCCTAGCACTCTTCCACATGATGTTACCTATCTTCCTTGGCCATGGACAGGAAGTTGGATCAAAGAGTCTTTTGATGTCAGCCGGAGGTGTCCACCTGCATTCAAATAAGGAAAAAACCATTCCCAAATGCTAGCAACAAACGGACAAGTAATAAACAATTGAAAGCAAGTCTCACTATTAGCCTTTCAAAGAAGACAACAGTGTGGGGAAAGGCACCACTTTTTCCTCTTCCTTTGTAGCCAGTCAAAAGTATTTATTTTTTCGTGTACAACTTCCCAACAAAAATCCACAATCCTAGGTGGGATAGGCTTGCATTATACCTCCTTAACAGGAAAAGATTGAAGGGGACTAAGGGGAGGTTGGGTTAAAGCTTTGAAGAAAGAGTTACAGGAGAACAGACCCGAAGATGAAGGTGTCCAAATTCTTTCATCAGACTTATCAGGATCAAGGAAAGTTCCTTCAAGGTTTTGGATTAAAGAGAGTACACTATCAATTTCTGAATCCCTTAATCCCCTTCTAAAGCCAAGGTTCCAATCAAAATCATTGATTGAGTTTGAAGGGACTAAGAAAGTGGAAATGGGCTCACTCTTGAAACATGATAAAGAATACAAAGAGGGGTATAAGTCCTTCAAAGGGGAGTTCCCATACCAGATTTGATCCCGAAATTTGATTAGGTTGTCGGAATTGAGTTCATACCTTACAAGAGGCAAGAAGCAAGGTAGAATCTCTTGTATGGCCTTCCAAGGTGAAGCTCTAGTAGCCCGTTGCAGTGAATCAGCGTCCCATCCATTGTCCAATAGCCCGTGTATGTGAAGGGATTAGAGATCCATCATATGGATGGCCGAACCCTGCAGGTAGGTTGGGCGAAATTTCAAAATTTCCTCTCCCCTCATCTGGGAATCACATTCCCTGTTTTAGAAAATCTGCATTTTCAAGGATCAATCTTGAACCATAAACCAAACCAGATCTGAAACCAGAAGCAGGAGAGGGATATACCTGTTACAGAGAAGCAGTATCTCCCAATGGAGGTGTTCACGCCCAAGGTAGGAACCAAAGATTGCTCCCACTGAAGATGGCGTAGTGAAGGATGGAGCAGAATCAGCAATGTTCGTCCAACGAACCGAATCCTTCACAAGAATTTGCTGGAGGCTGTGAGCACAACTTCAGATCAGCCTTTCCCAAAGACTGATATCAAAATCTAATCTTGATCGTTCTTGCTAGAAGGAGGAAATCGAACTGGCAGTAATGGCGGTAGCAGGAAGGAGGCGACAAGGAGAAAACA